AAAAAAAAAACGACCAGACTCGATAGTGGTATCGATAAGCCCAAACGTTATTGATTTTCGGGTTTTGAAAAAAGTGGAACCGGGTCCTTGATGGAACCGGGTTTCGATCCCCATCCCTACTAACCAATACACCCCTCTCTGCAGATTCTCTGTGAAACCAGTCCCCGACCAGTACCAGAACCAGTTCTACTGTTTACCTGTTTGTGTGCAAAATCTTTATTAAACTGTTTAACTTTTACCCCTGACTCCGTGGTGTGTTCTGCATGTGGGTTTACTCTGAACGCCATCATGACAGAACACTCTGGCCACAAAAAGAACCCAGCAGACACCCTACGGAGGTTAGTCGAGGAGCAAGCTGATTAGATCCATGAAAACGATTCAACCTTCCGTGAGTTAAACATCCGTTTGGAGTTAAATAACCAAACCTTTCAAGAATCTGCAGGCTTCGTGAGAATCACAACATGGCGCCAGCTCAACTTCCGGTTCCTGAGTCAACTCCGCCTCAAGGATCAGAGCCAGTTTCGTCACTTCCGGAATTCGGTCCGTCACTTCCTGCACTCCGTCCCTAGCTTCCTGAAAGGTATTCTGGCATACCTAGCAGACTAAACGGATTCCTGCTTCAATGTAAAATGTTTTTCGAACTCTCCCATTCCAGTTTTCCTAACGACAAGGAAAAAATAACCTTTATTCAGTCACGATTATCAGGAAAAGCCCGCAAATGGGCAAAGACCAGTTTCTCTTCTGAATCCCTTGTTTCTTGTACATATGAATATTTTCTGAAAGAATTATCTCTAGCTTTTTCTGAATCTGCTAAATCTCAGGGTCTGTCGAACTTTAAACAGGGGAATAGATCCGTAGAAGATTTTTCTGTCGACTTCCGGGTCAGAGCCGCTACTTCCGGTTGGACTGATTCCATGCTTAAAAACATTTACTACCACGCCTTAAATGAAGACGTTAGGAATGAGCTGGCTAAGATCGAGGAACCAGAAACCTTGGATGAGCTCATTTGCGTAGCAGACCACCTGGATTACAAGATATGAACCAGAGTAAGGTCTAGTCCAGTCCAGCCCAGTCCAGCTCAGTTCAGTCCGGCTCGGTCCAGTTCAGCCCAGTTCTGTCCAGTCT